TCGGAGGATTACGACAACGACATCCCAGGGCTTGCCAGCACCGATCAGGAGACATCATCCCATTAAGTGCCACCCTTCTGCTCCCGTCTGACCTCCCGTCAGTACAACTTTTTGTGCCAACAATGAAAAATCGTTTGCCATGGCTTGCCAATATGCTGTGCAGCAGGCAACCCCTCCTTCTTGATCTCGATGTCAGATGGCGCGAGTCGGATACCGCTGAGGTTCTTGGGGTCTAGCAAAGCAACCTTGATGTCCTGTCGATGTCGCATAGGTTGGGCAGACTATGTAGACGAGGGTTCAGGAACACATCTACCCTGAAGGTGACCCTAAACCCTAAAGCCGAAGATGGCCTCAAAAAGAGGCCAAGTTGTGACCCTGGACCCTGGCAGAGGAAACCTGTAGGCCGAGCTCGAGTTGAAGCCGCTCGACGGTACTGAAGTCCACCTGCACCACATGGGAAAAGCCCACGAATGGAGCTTTTTGCGAATGTGAAAACAACAGAGCCTTTTTGTGCAAAGCGCAGAGATGGTTGCTGCAGAGCTCAGAAGGCCTTTACGCTGATGAAGCACCCGCTTGCAGGGTCGTAGGTCTCCTTGAAGTACAGGCCTGGGGATCACTCTTAAAGTTCCTCTGTATCATGAGCTTCTATGTGCACCGAGGGCTCGGCAAATGTCACCGAGGTTGGTGCGCTCAATTCGTCCCTTTACGATTCGAGCGCTGACCTGACATGGACTATCCAAAAACACGCGCAGAGAAGAGGCAGCGTTCATCCGTCACCCAACCTCGTTGAACTCGTCCCTCAACGTACAGGTGATGATGGGTGTGGAGATGGTCTTGGCTGCATTGATGATCTCCTCACATTCATCATGCTCCAAACGAGCTGCCCTCAGTTGCCCCAGCTGGTGCCAATCTCCTTGATTCGGGGCACCCCGAGGGTGACATTCATGCTGGCCTTCGCGTCTGCGCAGACTCTTGGGGGGAGGCTCGTGTGCCGGAAGACTGGGTCCGACTGCCACAGCTGCAACTCTCGCGCTGATTGACAAGACTGGACCGATCAAGAACTGCGAGTTAAAGATCCTAGATGTCATCGTGTAGTCGTGTAAAGCGAGCTTGCACTTTGCTCAGTCCCTCCCCTGTGGCCTTAGTTTCTTGACGGCCTGCATTCCAAACCCTCTTGTGCCGGGGTGAGCGTTCAGCGAGGTTGGGGGAGTGCTTCATCACATGGCGCAAATCTATCAGGGCCCTTCATCCAGGGCGTTGCTGGAAGCTAAGCTCCCTACCACGCCAGCGAAGTGGAAGGTCTTCAGGGTCATCTGGGTCGCAGGCTCGCCGATCGACTGAGCCTGAAAGTGCAGCTTTTATACCGACGTTTCGGGGTTTCTGCCGCAGGTTCGTGCGCAGCTTGCATCGTCTCTCCGCCACTTCAGGTACTTATCACGCGACAAAGCTGCAAGCAGGATGTTGGATAATCAAAGCGGTCCGGCCAGTCTCGGTGCACCCTGAAACGAGCTTTTTTCTCCAGAAATTAATGGCCACCGGCCACCGATCTGCTGCATCAGGGAATCCAGAGGGAGGCATGGAGTCATCAGGGAATCCAAATAGAGGCATGCTTAGATGACCGACTGGGTGGCACACTGCCACAGCCCCAACAGCCTCGCCTGGCATTAGAAAGGCCTGCCAGGGCAGAGCGAGCGAAGGGCAGGAAGTAAGCCTACCATTGCAAGATATTGTAAGCGTGTAGGCTTCTGAAATGTCGATCATCTGTGCTCAAGCCGTTGGTCCTAAACGAGGAGAGGGCCCCTCCTGAAGTGCTCGCAAGAAAAACTCAAACCAGGTGCAAGATCCGCGCGAAGGCAAACACCAAGCACATGTGGGGAAGTATGTGATAAAAGGAACTCTCGGCGTGCGGGCCCGGGCAGGGTCTCCAGCATTGGCATTGGCCTCCTACAAACCCAGAGACCTCTACAGTGTAGGTTGGGTTTCCAGTTCATCCGAAGCTGAACTCTGCATCTCGATATCCTATACACACCCGACCCGCAACCCGAAGATGCAACCGGTCTGAATTGCAGGCCCTCAGGGCATGTGAAAGACACACCCCAGCTCAGCTGAATGCGGGATAGACAGATCTGGCTGGAAATGGGTGTTGGCTTCGTCGCAGCTTTCTCCTTACCTTCGTCTTGATGCTCCCAGAAAAAAGAGGTCAAGGTGCTGTGGACCTCTCTTCGAGACCTGACGACTCCACCCGCCTGCACGTACTTGATGGCACAAGTATTGACAAAGGCGTCCAGCTGCTGCAAGGTGGGGCATGACCTTTGCTCAGGCCAATCAGGGATCCCACAAGCGCCTGCCGCATCAAGTGTTCGAATTCAGGCTCGAGGCCCCAAGTCCATCAGCTGCAGCCCGTCCTTCAGCCTCTGCAGCGGCACCCGACTGTAAACTTCGGGGATGAGCTTGCACAGACTCTCGGAGGTTTTACATGCCTTGGCATCCGGATACTCCTAGTCTCCACCCCCCGAACTCCCCGCCTCCAGCTTTTCCGTGCAGCTTTGGCAGACTCCTCGCAAGCTGCAGCTGGAAGTGTTTCTATATAATTTGATGTACTACAGTTACTTCAGCTACTACAGGTTCAATATAACCTGTACCAGACCGGACGAGACTCTTGTAGAAAAGGGCCCCCAGAGCAGAACGATGCTTCCTGTGACTGGCCCTCTAGGAGTACCTTCGAGCGACTGAGGTGAGAGAGGTAATGGAGTTCCTGGATTCCTAAATCCATCCTTCTTTCGTCTTGATATTCAAGCCGTCAAGCCCCTCCTTAAAACGGGATCTGATTATAATGGGACTATTCGTGCTAAGGCCCTTTGAGATGTTGAGTTGTCAACTGCCCTTGCACAGCAGGCCCTACCAGACTCCGGAAAATCCCAGGCCTCACTATCGCCAACCTCCAGCCCGAGTTGTCCGCGCTTCAGTGCCACCTGCAGGCAGGGCTCGCACTCGGCCTCCTTAAGGTTTCCAGACTCCCCTGGATTCGAAACCCATGTTAGGTCTTGCAACACCTACCCCTCCACTCTCCGCAGCCTTGACCAGCATTTTAAGGCATTGACACGAACTGCTGCTAGTGCCAGTTGATCCCAGGTGGCATTATTCGGCTGCACCCAAATTCCTGTGGCCTGCTGCGCCAGCTCCTTGATGAAGCGCCGCACATCCCCCTTCACGAGCCTTGCCAAGAGTGGAGAGCCCCAAACCTCTAGAAGAAATGGGCACTTCTTGTGACTCCATAACAATCATGACAAGAAGAAGAAGAACGAGGATAAGAATAATACTACCAAAAATAAAAAAAAATTATCATCATCACAACAATCACAATAATTGTAACACTCATAACGTTAACGTCAGTAAGAGTCATAACCACAGTAATGGTAATATCAGTAATCACAACAACTGGCAACAACAACAACACCAACAATAATCAGAACAATACCGATAATGATAACAGTCATAATGATAAAAGCAATAAGAGCCACAGTAATAGCAATACTGGTGATCACAACAATAAGAACAACAACACTAATAATCATCATAACTATAGCAGCAGCATTAGCAATAATAGCAATTATAACAAGAACAACAAAATACTGATACTGTCATTAACAACCATAATAGTCATAGCAAAAATAATACTAACAACAACAACAACAACCACAACAACCACAACCACAACCACAACCACAACCACAACCACAACCACAACCACAACCACAACAACACCAACAACAACGACAGCGACAACGACAACGACCACAACCACAACCACAACACCACCACCACCAACAACAACAACAACAGCAGTCACAATCACAATCACAATCACAACCACAATCACAATCACAACCTCAACCACAACAATCACAACCACAACCACAATCACAACCTCAACAACACAACAACAACAACAACAACACCAGCAACAACAACAATACCAGCAGCAGCAGCAACAACAACAACAACAACACCAGCAGCAGCAGCAGCAGCAGCAGCAGCAACAGCAACAGCA